ATCAGCCTGACTACGTCCACTGCAGGACAAAGGCCTCTCCCATGTTCCGCCAGTTACCCCGATTCTGTGCTTGCTGCTGCCAATTTATACCCGCAAACTTCTTAATCTCATCTACCCACCTAACTTTGTGTCTCCCCCTAACCCGCTTCCCTTCTCTGGGAATTCAGTTTGTTACCCTTAATGACCAGCGGTTATCCTGTCTAAGCGCTACATGCCCGGCCCATGTCCATTTCTCTTTTTTATTTCAACTACGATATCCTTAACCCCCGTTTCTCCCCTAATCCACTCCCTCTCTTCTTGTCTCTTAAGGTTACACCTACCATTTTTCTTTCCATTTCTCGCTGCGTCATCCTCAATTTAAGCTGAGCCCTCTTTGTGAGTTTCCAGGTTTCTGCTCCGTAGCTAAGTACCGACAAGATACAGCTGTTATATACGTTTCTCTTGAGGGACAGTGGCAATCTACCAGTCATGATTTCAGAGTTCTTGCCGAATGTGCTCCACCCCATTCTTATTTTTCTAGTTACTTCAATCTCGTGGTTCGGCTCGGCGGTTATTACCTGCCCTAAGTAGACATACTCTTTTAAAACTTGAAGTGCACTTTTACCTATCTCGAAGCGTTGCTCTTTTCCGAAGTTGTTGTGTATTACTTTCGTTTTCTGCAGATTAATTTTAAGGCCCACCTTTCTGCTCTCCTTGTCTAACTCCGTAATCATGACTTGCAATTCGTCCCCTGAGTTACTCAGCAATGCAATTTCATCGGCGAAGCTCAGGTTACTAAGGTACTCTCCATTAACTCTTATCCCTAACTGTTCTCATTCTAGGCTTCTGAAAACCTCCTGTAAGCACGCGGTAAATAGCATTGGGGAGATTGTGTCCCCCTGCCTTGCACCCTTCTTGATTGGTATTCTGTTGCTTTCTTTATGAAGCACTATGGTAGCAGTTGATCCCCTGTAGGTTTCTTCCAAAATACTTATATATACTTCACCTACGCCCTGATTCCACAGTGTCTGCATGACGGCTGATATTTCTACTGAATCAAACACCCCCTCGTAATCTATGAAGGCTATGTATAGTGGTTGGTTATATTCTGAGCATTTCTCTATTACCTGATTGATAGTATGAATGTGGTCAATGTTTGAGTAGCCTGTTCGAAATGCTGCTTGTTCCTTTGGTTGGTTGAATTCTAATGTTTTCTTAACTCTGTTAGCAATTATTTTTGTAAATAGCTTGTATACCACAGAGAGCAAGGTGATCGGCGTGTAATTCTTCAAGTCCTTGTCATCTCCTTTCTTATGTATTAAGATGATGTTAGCGTTCTTCCAAGACTCTGGTACTCTTCTCGTCAGGAGACACCTCGTAAACAAGGTGGCTAGTTTTTCTAACACAATCTGTCCTGCATCTTTTAGCATACCTGATGTTATCTGATCCTCACCAGCAGCTTTGCCTCTTTGCATGCTCTCCAAAGCTTTTCTGACTTATTCTATCATTACTGGTGCGGTGTCATCTGGGCTACTGCTAGTTCTTGTAGTGTTATGGTCGTGGTTGTCTCAGCTACTGTACAGATCTCTGTAAAACTTCTCCGCTATTTTAACTATCCTATCCATATTGTTAGTTATTTTGCCTTGTTTGTCCTTTAGTGCATATATCTGACTTTGGCCTATCCCAAGTTTCCCCTTCACTGCTTTGACGCTTCCTCCGTTTTTCAGAGCGTGTTCAATTCTCTTCATGTTATACCTTCTTACATCGCACACCTTACGCCTATTATTCAACTCCGAAAGTTCTGCCAGTTCTATTTTGTTTTGTTGTACTTGAGACTTTCATGATTTGACGCTTCTTAAGTAGATTCTTCGTTTCCTGGGAAAGCTTGCCAGTGTCCTGTCTAACTACCCTGCCTCCAACTTCGACTTCACACTCCGTAATGATACTCGGCAGATTATCATTCATTGTATCTACGCTAAAGTTGGTTTCCTCTCTAAGAGCCGAGTACCTGTTCTGAAGCGACACTCTGAATTCCTGTACTTTCCCTCTCAGTGTTAGCTCATTGATTGGCTTCTTGCGTATGAGTTTCTGTCGTTCCTTCTTCAAGTCTAGGTGAATTCGAGACCGCACCATTCTATGGTCACTGCATCGTACCTTGCCAACCACTTCCACATCCTGCACAATTCCTGGGTGTGCACTCACTATAAAGTCTATTTTGCTGTTATTTCCGCCATTAGGGCTCCTCCTTGCCCACTTGCGGTTTGCTCGTTTTCGGTAGAAGGTATTCAAAATTCGTAAGTTATTGCGTCCTGCGAATTCTACTAGTAGTTCTCTTCTGTTGTTTCTAGTACCGATGCCATAATCTCCTACTGCCTGGTCTCCAGCCTGCTTCTTCCGTACCTTTGCATTAAAGTTGCCCATCACTATAGGATACTGTGTTTTTACCTAACTCATTGCCAATTCCACGTCTTCATAGAAGCTTTCAACTGAAGCGTCATCATGGCTGGATGTAGGCACGTAAGCCTGTAACACCTTGATCTTGTATCTTTTATTTAGTTTAATTACGATACCTACCACCCTTTCATTAATGGTATGGTATTCCTCTATGTTGCCAGCTATGTTTCTGTGAATTAGGAACCCCACTACCAGTTCTCTTTTGTGTGCCAAGCCCCGATAGCAAAGGACGTGCCAATTCCGTAGCACCATATAGGCATCATCTGTCCTCCTAACCTCATTCATCATCATCATCATCATCATCATCATCATCATCATCATCATCATCATCAGTCTGACTACGTTCACTGCAGGACAAAGGCCTCTCCCGTGTTCCGCCAGTTAATCCGGCCCTGTGCTTGCTGCTGCCAATTTATACCCGCAAACTTCTTAATCTCATCTGCCCGCCTAACCTTCTGTCTCCCCCTAACCCGCTTCCCTTCTCTGGGAATCCAGTTAGTTACCCTTAATGACCAGCGGTTATGCTGTCTACGCGCTACATGCCCGGCCCATGTCCATTTCCTCTTGTTTATTTCAACTATGATATCCTTAACCCCCGTTTGTCCCCTAATCCACTCTGCTCTCTTCTGTTCTCTTAAGGTTACACCTACCATTTTTTTTCTATTGCTCGCTGCGTCTTCCTCAATTTAAGCTGAACCCTCTTTGTAAGTCTCCAGGTTTCTGCTCCGTAGCTAAGTACCGGCAAGATACAGCTGTTATGTACCTTCCTCTTGAGGGATAGTGGCAATCTACCAGTCATAATTCGAGAGTTGTTGCCAAATGTGCTCCACCCCATTCTTATTCTTCTAGTTACTTCAATCTCGTGGTTAGGCTCTGCAGTTGTTACCTGCCCTAAGTAGACATAGTCTTTTACAACTTCAAGTGCACTATTACCTATCTCGAAGCGCTGCTCCTTTCCGAGGTTGTTGTACACTACTTTAGTTTTCTGGAGATCAATGTTAAGACCCACCTTTCTGCTCTCCTTGTCTAACTCCGTAATCATGAGTTGCAATTCGTCTCCTGAGTTACTCAGCAATGCAATGTCGTCGGCGAAGCGCCCTATTATATCCCATTTATATTATTATATCGCAATGATTATATTATATCGCAATGAGCCCTATTATATCCCATTTAACACCCTATAGCTCCTCGAATAGTACAGCTAGACTTCCCTCACTAGATAAGGTTGTAGCGTTAAACGTTGCCAAGTTCAGGTTCCAATGGTGGCCTGTCTGCAGCCTAAAATACTACAAAGGTCCAAGTGATGGGCACACCGGTGGCGGCTGCCGGCGTGCTGGCTGCACGATCCCCCAAACGACAGCCATGTTGGGGTTGCACCAGTGCCCTCTCTAGGCGGTGAAAGTTGCGAATACAGCTTCCACGTAGAGGAAGGTTTTGGTGCAGATAGACACGCCAGTAGAAAGCGGGACAATCTTAGCATAATGATCACCACACCGACTGCGCCTAGTCATGCCTCACTCACGTTCCGCCAATATACCTGGTCCTACGTTTGCGCGACCAAGGTGTACCCGCTAGTATTTACGCTGATGTAAGAGAATAAAAACGCTACATCGAGGAAAGTGTTTTTCATCGTTGTCTAGTTTTGTGCTTCAGCGACAATAAAATGGTGTCAGCACCGCTCACAAATATGTATAGGACGTATAACTTCTGTAGACATGTAGCTCGTCTGATTGAGCAAATTAAATTAATGATTAGAGTTTCTGCCCAAACAACGCAGTCCCTTTCCACCCACTCGCCACCGGCAAGGTTTCGTCCTATTTTGCTCGATGAAGCCGGCGGGCACATTTCATCTCTCTTTGAGCCGGACTCCTCAGCAATTTTCGAAACATAAAGTATGAAACCTAAGCATATGCCCATACAACACATGACGTGAGGGGGGACGTGATAGATAACCTTTATTCAAAAGATTACGGTGATGCTGACGGCATAACTGCCCCTCGAATAGCCATATAATTGATATCGTTGCTGTAGATGTAAGCGCTACTTCAGTTAAATAACTCAAAGTTTTGAACAAAAATTGCTATGCTATAGCACAACTGTAGACAAGAAAAGTAGCTATTGCTAATATTACTGCTGCATTCAATCATCTATGTCTTGTCGTTTTTATTCCAGCATGGTTACCACAAAATAAAAAGCTGACGATACTATGTTGCTAGAGGGAAAAAAAAACGTTCTTCACAATTCTTTCAAACGCTCTATTTTTCTGATGTGTATGACGCAAAAGAGAGATCATTTTTAAACCTTGAGACGTAAACAAGCTTACGATTTGCCGTTGTCTTGGCGTGTCAGTAGTTATTAAAAAAATACTAACAAGAGTCTTTCTTCTTACACAATAGATTGAGGCGTCAGAAATCGGACAACGTGCACAAGAGTCCTAATCCCTGGAGAATTTCTACGTAATACATGCCAAGCAATGATTGGCGGACAGCGACAAAACTCCGCTTATATAAGACGCACCAGTGGCTCCAGTTTCTTCACCAGCTTCACCTAGCCCGGAACTTACTACCATGGCCCGCCTCTTGATATTGTGCACATTCGCTGCCTTTGTGGCCTGCGCCATGGCCTCCGTCCAGCAGCCCGTGCAGAAGCCGCAAGTTGAGCCAGGCACAGTCGGTAAGCACAGTTACGATGCCACATCATAAACTTGGAAATGTGTCTAGACTTAAAACTACATCACAATTTATTGTGGATTTCAATAATTTCTCGCTGCACGTGACGCCTATGCAAGTGTGCGCGTCCGAGAGTAATAAGTTTTAACTACATGCAGCAACACGTCGATACGTCTGCATGACTGTAACAAGAATAATTTTACTTTATCTAAATGGAGGAGGTCATCTTTTTAAAACTTCTTTACATGCATAAATTCTGCCGGAACATGCAAACCTTCTGAACTAAGATGTCAAACACGTCTTTGATACCTCCCGATATCCAGTGCATCATGCACATTTTACAGCAAAAACTGTTATGAGATCACAAGCCGAGTCTTGTGTGGCGCTGTAGTTGTTCACCGCCGCCACAGCTGGTGTCCGTAACCATTATCACACGAAATAAGAAAAAAAAAAGAACCCTCGTACCTAGGACACAGTGGAGCTCGAACCCGAGTCCATTGCGTGCCAGCCCAGTATTCTACCACTGAGCCACGCCGGTGCTTTTTCAATGAATGAAATTATCACCAGAAAAGTACACAGAACATACTTCACCAGAAATTAGGCAAACACACACAAGCGTCAAGATCGGGAAGCCACTCCGGAACGGGGTCAAAAGTCTCGACAACACTGCGCACTTGAGCAGCTGCTTCTCGGAAGACAGATCTCGTCGACCGTGGTGGCTCGGCGTGTCTATTGATCATGCGACTTTTCCATAATGAATAAAGTCCCTAAAAACACAAACAAGTCGTAAGGAGTGCTATCAGTCAGACTTTTTTTGAACGGAAGGAACCTAATACCATGGGCTGTGATTGGAAGTTCTTTTCTTAACGTTCTTTTTAGAATGTCCCAAAAATAAAAATGTGCTTGAAACTGTTTCGAGAACTTGCCCTATAGGCAGGCTTGATGTCGGGAAAGGAATCGCGTTAATATGAGTAATAAAGCATTTCAGAAGAGCAAAAGAATAACCATGTGTCACACAACGGCAATAGCATAACGAAGGGGTCGTCCAATGCTCCAACACAATGAAAAAGCTTGTTCTTGATCCCTTATTAACTGTGTGGCATACCCTAGTTCAGGCATAATTCCTAATCATTGTCAACCAGTGCATGAACAATCGCACGAAATTCCTTGCAAAAGTTTCACGGATACCAAGCTTTTCCAAAGAATGATGAACGATAGCACAGGGAATGCCGGCCTACTACCAAGCAATAATTATTGTTAATGCCGCAGCGGGTACCCAGCAAGCATGCTTGCAGCAGTTACCTACATGGGTGTTCAGAAAATGTTCTGAGAGGTCCGCTCTTCTAGCTTTCGCTGAGACTGTGCTGTGCCTTCCGTGCAGGCCTGCGTTTTTTTTTACTCGGGATGATTCGCGCTTGTTATGATTTCTCTGTTTCAAACACGTCATACACAAAATAATTGTCAGACACATTGTGCTCGGGCGTCATCTAGTTTTTTTATATACTGGTATTTAACGTCCCACATTCAAATATCATACTTTATGCGTTTTACACACTAGGAAGTAATTCAACTTGAAGCCAATGTAAGATAGTTTCGTAATTTATAATAACACGACACTGGCATGCACTCATTAAAAAAAATGCGTATTTCTGACAGCTAAGCTGGCTTTTTCCAGCTTGAGTTTCCGTGTGGCGTCGAAATTTTTGTTTCCACAAGGAACGATTGTCAGAATCAAAATACACTGGAACTAACGGACGATCCGCCTGTCTCAGTAGGTCATGCGCGTGCGCCCTTCCCGTAAAGAAAAAAAAGTCTTATAGCAGCACGTGGTCTTGAAGGCTTCTGCTCTCTCAATAGCAGTTCACGCGACCCCTACTGAAATGATGCTAAAAGGAAACAAAGCACGACAAAGAAATGAAAAGGGCTGATAAATAAATGAAAGCGACAAAAACAAATCGCGGGTTACAGTTTTTCTCCCATTGCGTTGTCCAGGTTACTGTGCAGAGATAACTGCTGATGTAATTGCAGTTAACTTTATATTTGTTAAAGTAATAATTGTTTCAGCATACATAATGAAAGAATCAACTTAAAGAGACCATTCCACTGAATTTCCGATTGTAATCCTTGTTTCGTGGGTTAATCCTTGTGCCTTCACGAACAAGATGGCGAAATTTTCGCTCATTTGCTCAAGCGCCTAATTTTTCATCAAACGTATTTATGAACACGTGGGATACCTGAGAGTCGGTCTTCATGGCGCACTCGTGAGCAGTGACGTAACAGGTGACTAGCTGTGCGAGCGTCTGTATTCCAGCGAACGATGTTCCTCCATGGTCAGCTACGCGTCAAATCGGGATAATTCACCTTTCTCCTGCTTGGCACCAAAATTGAACGATTTGCAGTGGCTGAAATTCGTTAAAACACTATATAGCTCCGTTCCTTCCAGCTCATGACGTCACACGTGTCATGGCGAAATGGTGGACGCCGGCGGTGTGCAAAGTTTTCGGCCAATGACTTCTATGGCTTGCTTTGCAGTGAAATGATTTTTATGAAGCAATTTTCATATTTTTTGTAGGCATAATAGACCCTCTATTTCCAGTCTCTGCAGAAAACCATGGATAGTCGGTTGACCGTGTCATGACTCCTTCAAGGAGAAGGAGTCATGACACGCCTTGAGCAGCAGATACATATTCTGGTGCTATACTGATGTCGAAGTATATTGCACTGCAGAAAAAAATTGCTTTTTTTGTATTTGTGAGTATCTGTAGTAAGCAGAGGAACACAATTACTTAATAAGCAGAAAACTTGAAACAATATACCTTTACGTTTTTCAATCTGATATACAACATTACTGAAATCATTTTATCAACCTATTTTAAATACGCGAATGTTACATAGTTATTCTTCCATATATAAGCAATGAAGCAGAACAAAAAAACAATGTGCATGACTCTATGCGACAGCCAGCAACACTACATTTGGCTGAGTAGGCGCAAAGGGCCGTAGTATACTTTTATACTAGACGAAAACTAGAGGTGCACCTTTGTATATAGCACAAGGAAATGTCGAAACATCTATGTGCAATTAATAGAAGACGCGACAGACCAGCAAGTCAATCCTCAATTGTGCTTACATACCTACAGTGAGCAGGTTCTTTTTAATATATCATTTTCCATGAAGACGCAGAAAGGATAACAAAAATGTAAACGAATCACATTATGTTGTACTGCTAAGCTCTCTTCATTACCATGCCTTACACAAGGCATTACAAGCGGCCTTACATATTATCAATCAGATATCAAAAGGACATACCATAATTCAAGCGCAGTGCTTAAAGAACAACAGTCAGGGAAACATGCGTTGCACAGTGTTGGAGACAAGAAAAGTGCTATGTATGAAAGTGTTAAAAATATTAAACGCAGTTGGTTGCAAGACGTGAACACGAAATAATAGCTAATAGTTATAAAAACAAAAAAAGGAAGTAAAATTAAACAACAACAAAAAACTTTGTTGTAGAGAAGAAGCTTTGTCGTAGAACTGCTTTGAGTGAGAGTCAGCTAAAAAGAGGAGACAGCAACATTATGACAAGATCTAAACAGCCGTGACGATCAAAGTTGCTTAACGGCCACAACTAACCATCTTATGTGCCCTATTTCAGGTGGTGGAAGTGGATTTCTTCCCAACGGGGGTGGATACTTGGGTGGTCCATGGGGCGGATCTTGGAGTGGACGATGGGGCGGATCCTGGGGTCTACCATGGGGTGGACCCTGGGGCCAACCATGGGGTGGCCCTTGGGGTGGTAACTGGGGTGCACCCTGGGGTGGATCCTGGGGTGGATCCTGGGGTGGTTTTTACCCGGGCTGGAGCAACGGCTGGAACGATGGCTGGAACAACGGCTGGCAGCTGCAGCAGCGAGTTTGGTAGTAAATTGGCTATCGAAAAAACGGCAGTGCACTGCCGTAAACAGCTCAGCAATAAACAAGCCTTTTGATTCCGTCGAAGTCGTGCAACTTGCTGTGATGTGCCTTCGAAAGAGACCCACTACTTTATAAAATAGTGTACGGGGTCTTTTTACATAGTTTCGTTCATTTTTGTGACGTCAGATTTACTGATTTTGTCGAAAATGCCCGGAGTCCTCCACTGTGGTTCAATCGACATATCGCGTTCTTGGCTCAAAAGTCTGAAGAATTGTTTCTATAAATATTGGAAGAAGTTCATTTAGCGTTGATTGCAGCGTTGATAAAGATGTGAGCAAGGAAAATGTCAAGGAAACTAGGAGGAAAAGAACGGCAGGGAGGTTACCCAGCCTATAGGCAGCCGATTTGCTACCCTGCGCATGAGAGGGGGACAGGGGAGATGAAAGACAGAGAGCAGAGAGGGAAGAGAGATAAACACAGCACATTCGGCAGCACACGCGCGCACACTCAGTCATAGTCCAGTCTTGTTTTTCGCTGAGTGTGGAAGTGCTGTTAGAGACGCTTGTACAAGTCCGTGTCGCGTAGGCTATCCGTTTACTCCATAACGCCACAAAAGCGAAATTCCCAAGTCACTATACAATGACAGAACAACGGAGGGGCCGCGTTATTACTGAGACAAAGTTGGCGTAAGAGGCGGATGACGAAGGGTGTGCACAAGCAAAATCAGGTACTAATCTAATTAGAAATTCGAAGCTCAGTGAAACTTGTAACTCATCGACATTAAAAAAAATAATACAAGACATGCAGTTTAGACCATACATTGGAATTTCAAGAAAAGTAATATAGTACGTGCTGCATCGCAGCGGCTGAAAAAGCCTGAGGAATGTGAGAAATACCACATGTCTTTAATCTTACCCTAGTAAGGCAAAACGTAATGGGCAAGGACGCAGTTCGCACTGATAAGCATGTGCACAGGGGTACAGAGTATGGTAGAGCAGGTAAGTTAGTCGAATATCTCAGCGCAACCAATATATCTGCATACTTGAATACTTGCGCAGGATTGAAGCAATGTATATTTACGTATTGATTATTGTGGTGGCTGAAAACCACTTGTCTAGCATCGCATGAACCTTTCCTTTTCTCATGTATGCCCGGAAAGCCAGCGACTGAAGGCACCTTGTTGTCTCAAAGAGGTCGCGGCTTCATTTGGATTTTAGCAGGTATCGCAAAGCCCGTCTTGTTTTTTCGTGATTTGCCAGGGGGAAGAAAAAGCTTGCTAAGGTTTATGAGCAAGCGTGCTGGTAAAGCATGAATATATAGTGCAACTGATTGATGAAACACAAGAAAGGTACACACACGCACACCCAAGAACCAACGTTCAACAATGTTTGAACAATAGCATTGTTGAAAGTTAGCACTTTTGTGTTTGTGTGTACCTGTCCCGTGTCTAGTGAATCACTCGCGCTATATAGCCATCAAGATGAGAGATGAAGCTTTACACTACATAATCAACAGTCACGGGCACGCCAATGTGGACACTTGTATCAGAATTTGAAAAAAAAATTGCACTAACACTCATTTTGCGTGAGCTCCACTGTTATACCGATGAAGGCAATCGCACAAGTTACAAAGCCTCGAGATGTGTCTTAAAATTTCAGACATTCGTCTTTGACATTCATCTGTTAAAAAGCTCCTTAGCTGAAAACTACGCCACAATATTTACGGTTACTTATTTAGAACCGGTCAGTTAAAAAATACCACCTTTCTTCATGGAACTAAAACTTGGAACGAATTTTGTGATTTCATTTTTTCTATATACGTGACCAAATAGGTCGTCTAAGCAAGCTGAAATAATTCATTTTAAATAACTTCTCAAAGATTGAGTTCTGCACAAGAGTGAATGATCCCTGCCGTCCTGCTGCGCTAGAACTGATTATCATTGAAGAAACACCGACTCATCACACGTTTAGGTGCTGCTTGGCGCAACCACGCCGATTTACAGAAAAACAATCGAGATAATCGTAGAACCTTCCAATGATGACACGCAATACGCAAACATCGAAGATTCTTCTGGAAATTACGTGGCCACTAGCGGTAATGTTGTAGTATTCGGTGGCACATCTATAACTGTCGACGCGCGTCACCACTTACGCTCTTTTTGCCGCTATAAGTGCCTGTGTGTGTCCCTGTAGTCTGACCTTCACTTTGTCGAGTACAAGCTCGGCTAAGTAAAGTGTTTCTTCTTTGACACACCGGCAGTTGTCTTCTTCGACGTCACAAACACATAAAATCTGGTCAGTGTGCTGGGTGTTTCAGAATTCATAAACAATTTAGGCAGGGATTTCGTGACTCAATTTATTTCTATCTATTATCGGCAAAGCGATTTGTGTCATTTTTTCAACCCAGCATTCAAAGAAGGCGCCAAACCGGAATGTGAGGCTTGATATATAATAAAATATGTGTTCATTATAATTTTTTCTAATCAGCACGATTTTCGACGATACCTATTGACTTGATTGATATGTGAGGTTTAACGTCCCAAAACAACCATATGATTATGAGAGACGCTGTAGTGGAGGGCTCCGGAAATTTCGACCACCTGGGGTTCTTCAACGTGCACCCTGTCTGAGCACACTGGCCTACAACATATCCGCCTCCATCAAAAATGCAGCAGCCGCAGCCGGGATTCGAACCCGTGACCTGCCGGTCAGCAGTCGAGTACCTTAGCCACTAGACAACCGCGGCGACGATACGATACATATTCACTCCTACAAAATTGATAGAAACAATCATGACGTTTGAATGGACGTTTCAATAACAGAAAAGCGATTGACGCTTTATCTTTAGATTTCTCGAAGGCTGTTGATCGGGTTGCGCTCCCAAAGTTAATAAATAAGCTAATGAAAATGAATACTAAGTTTTGGCCTGGATCTGCTGAGACCTCACAAGTCGAGCACAGTACGTTGAAATGAACGGTATCAAATTGAATCTGCTGAACATACCTTCAGGCCTACCGCAGAAATCCATCTCAAGACCACTGCTTTTTATATACATAAACGATATTGCTCGTTACATAAGTGACGACATACTGTCAGGTTCTTTGCAGAAGATTACCTAATATACCGTGAAATTAAGAACCAGAGTTATCAGGCGTCCGTTAACCAAACTCTTAAGGCTTTACAAGGAAGGGCTCCTAAACTACAAGTGAAAATAATGAATCTAAATCAGCTCAGAATTATGAACTCAAAAAAGCAAGTAATACCCTAAACTACAAGTGAAAATTAATGAATTTAAATCAGCTCAGATATATGAACTCAAAAAAGCAAGTAATCAAACGTAATTATGAGATGAATTTCACAATTTTAAACAAAGCCGACTTAATGAAATATCTAGACTTAATATTTAAATAGAGTGCCTCGGGCGTGCAGCGGAGGCGAACGAGCGCATCAAGTAACGTCACACGTGAGACATGAGCGCCATCTGGCAGTTTTCTTAGAAAACAAGGCGCGTGGCTCTGAGATGGGTGTGCGCGCACAACTCAGAGAAGATAAGGTGTAGAACGCAAGGTGACGGTAGGTGCCACCACCGTCGCGTCAAAGCAAAGCGTTGGAAACACTCCCCGTTCCGTGCAAGCGTAGCATAGTCAGAGCAGCCTGATAAGCTCTACGGCCCTTAAAATTACTTATGTAGGCCTTTTCTAGTAAAAGACGCACATGCAGAATACATACGTGTTGTTATGATGCCCCAGACATGCGCAATAATTGCTACTGAAGTGTCGGAGAGGTCCATGGGGAGCAGACACAAACAAGGGGAAGTCGTCGTCTGAAGAATTCGACGAAAAGCAAAGAGACGCTGAGATACAGGCAGGACGGTGCAGGTAGGTGCCAAAGACAAGCCGACGAAGGCAGGCAGTTTTCTTCTCGGACAGAGAACCAGCGACCACAGCCAAGCACTCGAGACAAACCATGACCTTGACCTGGTGGCTGCGTTATGTTCTCGCTGGCTCCATGGACCATCGAAGCTTCATGTCATGTGATGCAGGGCCCTCCGACTCTTGACCTTTGCCAGACATTCGGGGATAACCACGACCGTGACTCTGGTGAACCGCCACCAACTTGCTTCCTTCCTTCCAAACGAACACCACCTCCGAACAACGTGGCACTCCAGCCCGCGCGCTTTTCACTTTTTTCTCCGTTGCCTCGTCTTCACACGTGTCTTTTTCTCCACTCACGTCTTTCACGCTTATCCGCACCAGCACAACTGACATCGTCGTCTTCTATTCCACCCCGCCCCGGAGCACTGCCGATCTTTCGTGCGCACTCACATTACACGTAGGCTCATCTGCAGTTTGCATCTATCGCAAAGTACGTTTGTTTTCTCGGGTTTGAGCAAGAATAGAGTGTACTAGAAGTGTTCCTAACATGGGGGAGGGTGAAAGTGGGCACCCCTCAACGAAGAAACTTGCGCACGACAATTAGCACAATTGTACGTCAACATCACAAGCAATTACACTAACACTAGTTTCGTGTGAGCTCTACTGTAGTAGCACACAAAGGCAATCGCTCATACAAGTTAGAAAGCTTTAAGGTGGGCCTCGAAATTTCGCACTTGTCTTCGATATTCACCTACTCGAAAACCCGTTCAAATAAAACACGTTTTTTCTCGGCCAGCGCCAGCAAGGGGACCAACAGCTATGGCAATGTGGCGACCACTGGGCGCAGACCTGCGCAGACACCTTCTCGTCACTTATCAGCCCAGCGTGACACGGCCACTTGCTGCAACATACCAACGATTAAAGACAGCGCCACCACAGTTTAACAGGAGGCTTACGTCACCGCTGCTGCCTATAAATTCCAAGCTCAGTTCCTTCTTCATTTCTCTAATCTTTCGAGCACGGCATTGGTAGGCTTGCACCACTGCTGCTGCCCCCTTAATAGATGTCGTTACGTTTTTGTTGGGATGCGTCCTTCTCTCGACACGGTATCCCATATATAGTGACCCGGAATC